GCTCCCCAGTAGGGGGCCTGCAGGAAGCAGCTGATCAATGATTCTCTCTCATCACTGATGTTTCTATCTCTCCCTCTCCGTTTCTCTATGAAATAAATAAAAAACATGTTAAAAAATAAAAACTAAGAGATTATTTTATAGTATGTATAAAATAAACACATGTCAAAGATTTTTATGAAATTCATGAAATAATGAGAGAACTGGGGAATTTGTTAAAATCGATTCAAAGGAGGAGTCAAAGAACTACAAATTCATATAGAGTAAAGGAATGTTGAAATAAATTTATAAATAAAAGAAAAATTGAATTTTTCTACAGGAGTGAGTGGGTGATTAGAGAAGTCAATTCAACCTCCACCAGGTAGAATCTACCTGTGTGTCTATAGATATGAAAGACAGAACGATGCCTCCCTTCCTGCACCTCCAAGATGCCCACATCGTAATCCTCAGACCCTGTGGATGTTAGGTTACATGGCAAAGGGAATGGAGGTTGCAGAGGGGATTGAGATTGCCAATCAGCTCACCTGATCATAGAGAGATTATCCTGGATTATCCATCTGGGTCCAATGTAATCACAAGGGCCCTTGAAAGTGGAAGAGAGTAAGCAGAAGAGAGTTAAAGGGAGCTGTGACCACTGAAGAAAGGCCAGAAGGATGCAAGATTGCTGGTTTTGAAGGTGGGAAAAGAGGTCCAAGAATCCAGGATGCTGTGGACTCTAAAAGCTGGAAAAGGCAAGAAAATGAATTTTTCCCTATAACCTCCAGAAAAAAAAAGTGGAGCTCTGCAGATACCTTGCTTAGTCCAGTGAGAGACCTGCGTGGGACTTCTGGCCTCCAAACCTATAAGACAGTAAAGTTGTGTTAAATTTTTAAAGGAGCAGTAGAAAATTAACATAGTAGACAAGAATTAGGTACATTGCTATCAGTTATCTACGAGTTAGAGTTTAAAAATAGCCCAGAGTTTGAAAATAGCCTGTAAAAACAAAGGCGCGCACGTTTTTTTGTGTGAGAATCATAGATCAGCTGCCTATGCGTAAAAACAAAGGTGTGCGCGCACACGCACACGCGCACACGCGCACACACACACACGCACACACACGCGCGCACACACACGCGCGCGCACACACACACACACACGCACGCACACACACGCACGCACACACACACACATGCACACACGCACGCGCGCGCGCACACACACACACACACAATTAAGACCTCATACTTTAGCTACATCAGCAGAGCTTATGGAGCTTACCTTTCAGGCAGCAAATAAAAGCTGGAATGTACTCCTAATGAGATGAATGACTCAGCACTTAGCAATTACAAAGATGCCCTATCCAACCACAGGATCATTAATCACTGATGGAAGCAGAAATGAGCAAATTGATGACTTGATGGTTCAGTAGATCTCCCTTGAAAACTGGGGAGAGCCAAATCATCAATAACTCTGGAAGCAATTCTTGCTCCATCAGCCAATTTCTAGCCGAAAGGAGTAATAGCCTCTTGGTATCCAACTGCTGCAGCTTCAGGGTTTATGTTACAGCAAAATTTTCTTTCCTTCAATTAAAATAAGCTGTGTAACACTTATGACTGGACTCTTATCCTATGGAAATTCTTATCAAGTAGAAATTGAATGACAGACACTGGAAAAAAAAAAACCCACAAAAATATAAAAAGCATCAGATAAAAAAAATGAAGATTAAAGCAGAATCATGTGACTTTCGTTTTCCTGGCATCTATATCTCATTCTTTTCATAACAACACTTAAGAGTGTCAGAGGAAGCTGATCTCATACATATTCCTCTTACCACTCCATTCAGACAAGAGTAGGTGAATGACCCAAGCCTGGCCCATCTGTATCAATGATAGGTTTAAGAATTTATGAGCCTGGCCAGTGTGGCTCAGTAGTTGAGCATCGACCTATAAACCAGGAGGTCATGGTTCCATTCCTGGTCAGGGTATATGCCCAGGTTTCGGGCTTGGCCCCCAGTAGGGGGTGTGCAGGAGGCAGCTGATCAATGATTCTCATCATTGATGTTTCTCTCTCTCTCCCTCGCCCTTCCTCTCTGAAATGAATAAAACTATGTTTAAAAACAAAAAGAATTTAGGGGACCAAATTTGACCCACTAAGAATCAAGCCTGGATCATTATTTGAAAAGTATCAGGTAAGAGGCACTTTCTATGGTCTAGTCTTGCTAACATGGTAGAATATGGACTTGAGTTGAGGGAGAATCAGCTTGACAATGAAGTCAACTCAGAGGGAAGCAGAAAGGAGAACACAGAGTCATTTGATATCATTTGTACTCTGTTGTGTGTGTTTTTAATGTTTTTATTGATTTGAGAAAGAGAGAGGAAGGGAGAATGATAGAGAGATAGAAACATAAATAGACTGCCTTCTGCACTCCCCCTACTGGGGATCGAGCCCGAAATGCAGGCATGTGCCCTGACTGGGAATTGAACCAGGGACCCCAGGATTCATGAGTCGATGTTCAACCACTGAGCCACACTAGCCAGGCTCATTTGTACTCTTAATTCCAGTCATGTCTATTATAAGATCATCTACCTCTGGTTTTTCCAATGTAATCAATTATTTCGTTCCGTTTCCCTCATAAGTCTGTCTGGGCTTAATTTCTGTTACTTGCCATTAGGAGAGTCCTGGCTAAGACAACCATGTATATTTGATAAGTTATCTCACTACTGTTAAAAGATAACCCAAGGCATATTAAAAATTTTAAGTTTATTTGAGCAAAAATTAATTCAAAGCAGGAAGTGCCAAACCATAAGTGGCTAGAAGCACTCCACTGACAGGAGCTAGAGAAGACTTTTATATAGAAATGGCAGAAGCAAGGCAATGGAATTACTTGATAGGCTATACTTTAAATACTTGCCTTATTTGAAAAAATAAGACTAGTTGGCTGTTTGTGGTTGGTTGCCCTTAAGTTTTGCCTTCTTAACCTTGAGGCATGTTTGGGCTTGTGTTTTGGATGGCTAAAGTATTAGAATTACCTTGGTCTAATGGCTTCCATATTTAATTAATTTAACACTACCAAACAGACTGGTCAAGGAAGAAAGTAAATACACTGGGGTGGGGGTGGGTGGAGGAGACAAATTTCAATTGTTAAAAATAAATAAAAAAGGACCAAATATCATCTATTCATGATACTTCTTGATAATCACTGCATTTGATAGTTAACACTAACCACTAAAAGCTCTTACAGAAACCAATGCCTTGGCAAAGTGGCTTCAACTCCTACCATGATCACAATATATTTTATACTGTTCCTAAATCGCCTGAAACACTGTCTTGGAATCCATATCAGCATCTAAAGCCTGGGGGAATGATACAGAAATGGAGAAAATATAGTCTGCCTGTCATATACTTATGCTCTAGGGAGAGATAATGGAAGAAAATCTAGCTGTTACTAAGAATGAGTGCTATTTGTAAGAATAACTATAGCACAATTTGATAAATTGTTATCCCTTATTTTCATCCATTAAAAACAGATTATTTCTCCTTTGAAACCTTTCTAGAACCTCCATTGTAGGCCTATATCTGTGGTGCTTTTTAGTCTATCTTCAGCACATCTGAGAATGCAGAAGAAGCAAAGAGAATGAAATCAAAATAACTCAATTATTAGAATAATATGATTAAGGTGATTCACTCACCAAAAATGAAGTCAAACTATTAAAAAGAATTTTAATAGTTTGAAGTCAAACTATTAAAAGGAGTATCATCTTTCATAAATCAAGAAAGCAAACCATGAACCATTTGGAAAGCCACCTGGTTTGTGTCCCCTTTCATTTATCTTAATTTAGCAGCTTCAGGGAGCATGGCCTGGCAGTTCAGTGTGAGGTCTAAGGTTGTAGAACAGAGTGTTCCTCCACCTTTCCCTCATATATAAACTTAGGTTGTTGTCCCCCCACCTCCCCAGCTTTGAAAGGGAAAGGAAAATTTTCAACTCATAACAAAAGACTAGCATCAAAACATAATTTTAACATTTAAGTAAACATTTTTTAAACGCTAACAAACCAATAATAATGGAGAGTAATAAAAGGCAAATCTTGGATGGCCTCTTCAAGTCAGCTCTTCCCCCACAACATTGCCTCCGTTTAGAATTAATTCATCACTTCTCTCCTATATGTATGTAATGGCCTCCCAATTGATCTCTGGGCTTTTAGTTTGCCCTACTGATCATCTTCTATCTGGTTGCCAGAATGACTTAAATCTCACGAGGTCACACTTCTGCTTAAAATTGTACCTGGATTTCAAGGTTAAATTCAGATTGTCTCCTTAGCACAGCTGCATGACTCTGTAGCTCACATCTTTCATCTGCCTCACTGGCACCTTCATTCTGGCCACCCTGAACTAATCACCCGACTCCCGACTCCCGTTTGTTGCTTCCTGCACTTTGTTGCTGTCAGGAATCCCCTCCCCACTTAGCCAACTTCGCCTGCCCTGCAAAACTTAGGGCCAGTATTACCTTTTCCAGGAAACCTTTCCACATTCCTTCGGGCCTAGGTCCCCTCCTAAGTGCTCCCTGTGATTAATTAGGCTTCTGCTGGTATCACACAGCACTGTGCGTGATTTCGGTTTACTTGTCTGTCTCTCCTGCAGTCTACAATACTCATCTTTTTATCTTCTGTGCCAAGCTTCGGGCCTGTCACATAGCAGCCGCCTTAAATGCCCGTTGAAAGAATTCATTTCAGAAGTAGAACCATGGGGCTGAATGAGCCCCCGGAGAAAAACAGCAAAGAAGAGGTTGCTGAGCCTTCTATATTAGGGAGTAAAGAGATTTCGTGGTCTGGAAATGGCAGGGGGCGGGGGGCATCTGTGAGCTGGAGAAGAGAAAAAAGTTGTTTCACCAGCCTCGATTTTTAGCTTACTGGGCCAATAGGCGTGCAGGGCAGGTGGAGCCAAAACGAGAAAAACTACATTTCCCATTATGCCCCGGGGCACCGCTCCGGGTTTCCCCTCTTCAGCACCACCTCTTCCTCGCGGAAGTGAAAGGAGCACTTCCGGTCCCGGCAAAACCCCGCGCCGGCGGCGTTAGGTCAGCCCCGTAGGGCCTTGCTCGGAAGCTCCGCCTTCGCTCAGGTCTTTCTAGAAACCCAGCTTTGCTCCTGGCGGTGACGGACAGGTACTTCCCGGCCACTACGGGGGTCCCCGGGGCAGTCCGCCGCACTGGTGCTGGGGGGAACTTGCCTCTCTGGAGGGGGTTGGAGCTCTCGCGGGGCGCTCCCGGCTTGTGGCACGGCAGAGAAGCCGGTTACGGGGGCCGGGGCCCCGAGCTGACATTTGTTTCTTTTCCTAGTTGCAGCGTCCCGGACGCGTGCGTGTGCCCTCTCCATGGCGGATACGACCCCGAACGGCCCCCAAGGGGCGGGCGCAGTGGTAAGTGAGCCGGCCAGGTGATCTGACTTGATTTGCAGGAGTTAGGAAGGAGCAGGAAGTGTTGCCAGTCGGTCCGAGGGCTCCAGAAGCTCTTTGCTTTCAGGACTGGGCTTAGTGATTGGGGTAGGGTTGACGGTGGGGTCGAGGGAGGTCGTGAGCGAAGATGTAGAGGCACCTGCACGTTTCTTTTTCGGAAGCGACCTCAGGCTAGTTGTCGGGCCCGCCTGGAGCAGGTGGCCCACACCTGTATGCCCTGGAAGTTGGGCCTTCTTGCCTCTCCCGCCCCTCGGTCTCTATCCCAGGTCCCAAGGTTGAAGATGCCAAGTGGGATCGTGCCAGGACACGCCTCATTCTGCACATGCGTGCTGGCAGAGAATGTGTCTGCTCAGTTTATGCCATTATCTCTATTTATATATACCTCTTCCTTTTTTCTTTATTTTGCAGAACCTTTTGAGAGTTAGTTGCATACATCATGATGGCTAACCCATCAATAATTCCGTATTCTACATGACTACAGTGCAATCATCACTGCAATTTTTGCAGTTAAATTTGGGAAATTTAACATTGATACATGTTATAACGTAATATTCAGTCCATACCCAGACCCGTTCTGCAGAATACTCCTCAAATTGGAGTTGTCTGATAAGTGATATTCTATCCTCAGTATATTATATATATCAGGATGCATTTTATGTTGATTTTTCTCATCATCTGAGATACTAAGTTTGATTATCTGGTTAGCGTGGTATCCACCAGATTCTCCATTGTAAAAATATCTTTTTTGCCTTTGTAATTAAGTAGTCTGTGAGCCCTGGCCTGTGTGGCTCGGTTGATTGGGCATCATCCGTGGGTCCACCTCAATTCCCAGTCAGGGCACCTACCCCAGTTATGGGCTCCATCCCTGGTAGGGGGCATGCAAGGTGGTCAGTTGATGTTACAATCTCACATCAGTGTTTCTCTCTTTCCCTCTCCTGTCCTCTCCCTCTGAAAATCAATGAAAAAAAAATTTTTTTTAAGTAGTTATGACATAGTAGTTTGACACTCTGTGAATAGTTTTTCACCTTAATAGGTTTTCACTCAAAGATCCATTGATATTTTTTGCCTGAACTATTTATAACATGATTGGGCAGTTCACTCTTAAAATTTAAACCAATACACCTTTTTAAATCTTTGTTGTGTAATAAGGTTACACACACATAAAAAATGAACAAAATGGAATGCATAGCTCAATGATTTATCACAAAGTGAACACCGTAAACACAAATAGGTTTTAAGAAAATGTTCTAAAATTAGAACATTTGTAGAATCTGAATATTATATAGAAACAGCATAGTGAGCTAGATTCATCCTTTCACTTGACTACTGATGATCATTTAAACTTAATGGTGTCAACAGTATAGTTGGATAGAATAAACTAGAGGCATATTTCCAAAGTTACTGGCATACTGTTTAAAAGACATGCAAAGCCAGCCAATAAGTCTGCTTACCTGAATGTGTTCTGCAAAAATTTAGAGAAAGCTGGTAATAATAAAGCCCTGTTACGAGCCTTAAAGACATTGAAGCCATTAAGGTCCCTGAAAATGGCTATAAGAAGTAAAAAAGACATGCAATAAAACGTCCTTGAATTTTAACATGTACTTGCATTTATTCCAAAAGTTTTTTACTATATCTTCTTGCAAATATAATTATATTAGACTAGAGGACCAGTGCATGAATTCGTGCACCAGTGAGGTCCCTCAGCCTGGCCTGCAGGATCAAGCCGAAACCTGCTCTCCGACATCCCCTAAGGGGTCCCAGATTGCGAGAGGGTGCAAGCCAGGCCAAGGGACCCCACTGGTGCACGATCGGGCTGGGGAGAGACACAGGAGGTTGGCCAGTTGGGGAGGGACCACAGGAGGGCTTCAGGGCATGTCCGGCCCATCTCACTCAGTCTCACTCAGTCCTTTTTGGCCAGACCCCAGCAGCAAGCTAACCTACCAGTTGGAGCGTCTGCCCCCTGGTGGTCAGTGCACATCATAGTGAATGGTCTACCAGTCAACTGTCTGCCCCCTGGTGGTCAGTGCATGTCATAACTAGCCGTTGAGTGGCCTTAGCATATCATTAGCATATTGTTCTTTAATTGGTTGAAGGGATGACTGGACACTTAGCATATTAGGCTTTTGTTATATAGGATTGCTTAGACTAGTGTTTCAGACTCCAGGTTAAGGTGCATTAGTGAGTTTTGATATCAGTGTCATGGAAACACTTTAAGTCTTTTCTTTTTTAATGCTTTTATTGATTTCAGAGAGAGTAAGGGAGAGGGAGAGAGAAATGGAAACATCAGTGATGAGCTGATCAGCTCATCAGAATCATTGATCAGCTACCTTCTGCACGCCCCCTACTGGGGATCTAGCTCACAACCCTGGACATGTACCCTGACTGGGAATTGAACCATGACCTCCCCATTCATGGGTTGACACTCAACCAGTGAGCCACACCGACTGGGCAACACTTAAGTATTTTTAAAACATTAACTAGAAAGCAAAATACCAAAATCCATCACACATAGTATGGGTAAGTATTGTTTTGTGAAACTTTTTTTTATATATTCACACATTTGTGTTGGATCTTAATGTAAAAATTACTTATGTAGATCCTATCAAAAATTTGAAAGCCACTTTCGAATTTGAATACAAGTTGATTTTTCAATGTAAAAAGAGATTCCAAGTTATTGAAGGGCACATCTATTTGCAAAAAGCAGCAAGAACAGAGAATGAGAAAAAAAACAGAGAAGAAAATGGTATATAGAAGTTTAATTAATCTAGAGCCACTGAAACCAGGGTAAGACCGGTAGGGGAGCTTCCTAGGGATGAGCAAGTTATAAAATCGAAGAGGCAGGTGCTGTTTAACACCAGACAGCCATATTTTGAGCACCTAGAGCAGTGGTTCTCAACCTTCCTAATGCCGCGACCCTTTAATACACTTCCTCATGTTGTGGTAACGCCCAACCATAAAATTATTTTCGTTGCTACTTCATAACTGTAATTTTGCTACTGTAAACAATATGTAATTATATATGTGTTTTCCGATGGTCTTAGGCGACCCCTGTGAAAAGGTCATTCGACCCCCAAAGGGGTCGAGACCCACAGGTTGAGAACCGTTGACTTAGAGTATGTCATGCCCTTGTGTGTAAATCGGCAAATCACCCTCAGGCTGAGTTCAGTAGTGATTTACTGTTAGCATGTTTTACATTTCTACATTGTAAGGTTTACTTAATCTAGACTAGCTTTGTATACATTTTTATTCAGATCTGAGACCAACCTATTTCAATTTGAGATTTTTGTAAGAATAGGCATTCTGGTTCTCTTGAGAGCAGTTCTTATTTAACAGTCTTAAAGTAGATGAAGTCAGTTTTATAAGTTTAGAAAGAATACAGACAAATGTAGTTAAATCTCTGAACAAATTTTTCTTTCCTAATTAGTCTTTTTTTAAATCGATTTTAGAGAGAAAGGGAGAGGGAGAGAGAAACATGGGAGAGGGAGACATCAATTGGCTGCCTACTATGCACCCCCTACTGAGGATTGAGCCCACAACCAGGGCATGTGCCCCGACCACAGGGAATCGGACCAGCCACCTCTTGGTGCATGGAACAACGCTCAGCCACTGAGCCACACCGGCGGGGCTCCTGATTAGTCTCTTTATTTTTTTATATGTCTACTGGTATTTTCCTATTTAAGTACTTTCTGTACTTACCACATCAAAACAGTAGGGTGTTCAGACTTGTTAGGTGAAGTGATTGCTTTAAGAGGCTTCACCTAATGATCTTAAAAAAAAAAATGTATTATTATAGAATTGTTCAAACATTTTGAATAGGAATAAAACTACATAATTTTCATCTTTAAAAACATTTTGCAGCCTTAGTTTACTACAATATTTTTCTTTTTAAATTCAGCAATTCATGATGACCAATAAACTGGACACAGCAATGTGGCTTTCTCGCCTGTTCACAGTGTACTGTTCTGCTTTGTTTGTTCTGCCTCTTCTTGGGTATGTATTATATCTATTTCTGTCTTTGTTATTCAGTTGTTCAGCCAGTTTTTATGGAATATCTTAAGTGCAAGACTTGCTAAACTGCAAGGGATTTAGGAACAAATAGACAAGTCTTATCTTTAAGGCACTAATAACCTAATGTTACTAACAGGAAGAATATTTTATATTATGTACTATGTGGAAACTGACATCACATTGAAATCTGAGAGAAAATACATGTGTGGAAATGAGAAATTTTTTTTTTTGCATTTTTTACTTAATAGGAAAAATGGCTGCTTTGTAAAATTCAGTAGGGCATATATATGAAATGATGCTTCTAATAGATTCTAGTAAATTCTGAAAATGTATTTTTATTGATTTCAGAGAGGGAGAGGGAGAGAAACATCAATGATGAGAGAGAATCATCAATCTGCTGCCTCCTGCACGCACACACGCACACACACACCTTGGGGATCGAGTCTGAAACCCGGGCATGTGCCCTGATGGGGACTTGAACCGTAACCTCTTGGTTCATAGGTCAATACTCAGCCACCAAGCCACACCGGTGTAATTTTTTTCTGTTTATAATTAAGTAATAGATTTAGGTGTTGTGCAATTATGATGCAATTCACAAAGGAGGAAGAGGCATGGTAGTTGTTTATGTCTCATGATAACCTCTCCTCTGGTAATTTGCAGGTTGCATGAAGCAGCAAGCTTCTATCAACGCGCTTTGCTGGCAAATGCTCTTACCAGTGCTCTGAGGCTGCACCAGAGATTACCGCACTTCCAGTTAAGCAGAGCATTCCTGGCCCAAGCTTTGCTAGAGGACAGCTGCCACTACCTGCTGTATTCACTCATCTTTGTCAATTCCTACCCTGTTACAAGTATCCTTTGTACCTTTTGACAATGAAATTGCCCATTGCTATGGACAGAGTAGAAAATAAAGTCACTGGATAATCTCAGGAGCTAATGAGAATTAAAGAACTCATTTGGAATTTGTATGTTTACACATTTCAAAAGTGTTGTGGGATGATAATAGGTATTCTAAAAAATGAGGGGAAGGGATAAAGAAGGGGGTGTGCTGTTTAGTCTGGGAAGCACGAGGTTAACCCATAGGTTTCTTTACTGTAGGACCTTTGAAATGCTAATGTACTTTGTGAGACTAAAAGTTACTAGTGTTTCCTAAACTTAATTGTTTTGTTATTTTCCTCCTGTGGATCATCTCTCAGGAAAGTGGTTTGTGCTTTGAGAAGTGCTGCTCTTAAGAGTTTTTGAGTAATTTATTCAACTATACGTAATGGAAGCACAATAAAATGTACCTTTAAAAGGTATATTAAAAGGTACTACCTTTTAATGCAATTTTGGTATTTTAATAGAAAAATCTGGAATTGCATTAAAAGGTAGTACCTTTTAATATACCTTTTAAAGGTATATTTTATTGTGCTCCTTTTAAATTGCATTTAAAAGGTACTACCTTTTTAGATAGTAAGTCTTAAAGGGAATAGGAGGAAAGGGAAATTTTTTGAGCACCTATTTCGCCAATGTATATGAATTTTACATATTTAATCCTTGCAACACTGAAAAAAATTGTCACTGCACGCATTTTAGCAGATGCCATTTCAGATGTGAATATTTGGACATAATACAATAGCCTGTTTTGCAAAGTACTTGATGAATTTAAAATGTTTTCCTTAATTGTTTTCTTCAGTGAGTATTTTCCCAGTGTTGTTATTCTCTTTGCTTCATGCTGCCACATACACAAAAAAGGTTCTTGATGTAAGTAAAAATATGCAGGGATTTTTTATTTTTTTGGTTTTTGCTTGGTTTTTGTTTTCTTTTTTACTCCTGACATGAATTTGAGCTAGTTGATATGAATTTGAACACTAAGACTTTTTGACGTTTGTTACAAAAAGCTCCTCTAATTCTTACAAACTTGTCCTAAATTATTTAATGATTTGAAAGTTTTAAGTTTGGAATATTTTATTTATATTTCATAATACAGTATATTTTGTAGATAAAATATTGCATTTAAAATTATCCCCCAGTTGCCAGAGGAATTTCTGAAGTTGAAATCTCTTCATTATTTAAAGGAATTGAATCCTTTAGGTGTGATAAGTTGTTAGAGAGCTCTTGTTCTGTCAGGGTTTAATTCTAACATATCAGGCAAGTAGAGTGTACTGAATTTCTTTTACTCTAATGTTCTGAACTGCTACTTTACTAAAATTTCTTATGTTTGGGTTGGAACATTAAGCCCAACGTAAGTGTGCTGGGCAAATTGACTGCATATGCACCAGAATTTGAATTAAAATACCAAATTTGCCTGTGTTGGCCTTTTTCTTTATCCCTATTGTTCTTTGGTCACAGCAGTAATTGGACTCGGTGATTTCTACCTTTAGTTAGCTAAGGAGTCACAGATACTTTAACTATATTACTGGATAATCAGGTTTTGTTATGGTTGGAGATAAATAACCACCATTTTTCTAATCTTAAGAAATGTAAAGGACTTGTATTAAAGTTGTTTTTATTTTTAAATCTTCAAGTACATAAAATATAACAAAGCAGGAAAATACACTAACTTTTGTCCTTACATAGTTTCTATATTTTATGTCATCATTTCCAAATATTTGTCTTTTGCTCGTATGGCCTGTTGAATATGCTATTTATCTAAAGGAAGAAAATAATTGAGTGATCAGAAATGCTTTGTTATTTTTAATGTTTGTTTTCTTATGTTTTAGGCAAAGGGTTCAAATAGTTTACCTCTGCTGAGATCCCTCTTGGATAAATTAAGTGCTAATCAACAGAATATTCTGAAATTCATTGCTTGTAATGAAATACTCTTGATGCCTGCTACAGTTTTTATGCTTTTTAGGTAAGAATGAAAATACATTTGTTTTAGGAGGTTGATAACTAAGTGACTATAATAAATATATTAACTCAAATTTTATCCTGCTTCAATCTGTTGAATGTTGAAGTAGATCCTGATATGTAGAGCTAGATGGATCTTAGCAATTCTCTTTTCACTTTATAGTGGAGAACCTGAGACATTATAGTAAACCTGGGAACATGTCTTTTTATCATTCCTTGTCATGTATCATTTAACATTTGGAAAGTTAATTTCAGAATAACTACCTTTGAAAGAATCTTGGGAAGTGTAGTCTATTCTATTTTTAAGATGATTTTTCTTTGTACTAGAGAAAAATCTGGAATTAATTGTTGCCTATTGTCCTTCTCATTAATTATGGTCTAGAATTAATTGTTGCCTATTAGAACCTCAATAGTTTATATCTTAATTGCGGAAGTAAGGCAAAAGAGAGAGAGAGAGAGAGTAAGAGATACAAATAATACATGAATAAAGAAAGTCTTCCTTTTAAAATTTAAGAAAAAATAGAGTATTGACCACTCCATCAATATTCTTTTTTTTAAAATATATTTTATTATTTTTCACAGAGAGGAAGGGAGAGAGATAGTCAGAAACATCGATGAAAAAGAAACATCGATCAGCTGCCTCCTGCACATCTCCCACTGGGGATGTGCCCGCAACCAAGGCACATGCCCCCGACTGGAATCGAACCTGGGACCCCTCAGTCCGCAGGCCGGCGCTCTATCCACTGAGCCAAACCGGTTTCGGCAATATTCTTGCATTTAAGTTTTAAAACTACATTTCTGTCAGGATTATTGCTTTTTCAATTTTTAGTTTCACAAGTATTGGGACACTATGTTTGACTATGAATCCTAGTAGCAGTTCTGTTCTCTCCTTCCCAGATATATGGAGTTTGATAATGTGTACATGTATGTTGTCTTTAAAAACACTTATGCAGATGGGTATAAAGTGTATATTATTATATTGTGGGTGAGGGATTTTGTTTAGTTTTTTTATTACGTCAAAAGTATTATAATGCATCAATTGTCTGCATCTTGCCTTTTTCACTCATACAGTGTATTTTTGTGACCTATTTATGTTGACATATAGAGTTCTTTTTTTTTTTTTAATATATTTTGTTGATTTTTTACAGAGAGGAGGGGAGAGGGATAGAGAGTTAGAAACACCGATGAGAGAGAAACATCGATCAGCTGCCTCCTGCACACCCCCTACTGGGGATGTGCCCGCAACCAAGGTACATGCCCTTGACCGGAATCGAACCTGGGACCCTTGAGTCTACAGGCCGACGCTCTATCCACTGAGCCAAACTGGTTAGGGCGACATATAGAGTTCTTATTTGTGGCTGTGTAATGTTCCATTATGTTAACATGGAACATTTTATTCTGCATTCCCTTATTCATGGACATTTGTTTCCAACTATTTACTTTTCCAAATATTGATGCAGTAAACATGTTTTTATTTGTCTGCTTACTAGTATACTTTTCTCTCAGTGTTATCTCTAACATAGATACCCGAATTGATTTTGCTGAGTTTACGCTGGGTGCATTTTATATTTAATAGACCATGGTTTATGAAGTATTTTAATTTTCGTTGCCTGAGGTTTTTATGTACCTGACAGTTATTCCTTTCTTTAACACTCTCTTTTCAAGGTAGTAAGAGTTTTATAGATTTTCTCATAAAGGCATCTGTTCCATTCCTTTAAGTTATGTTTTCCCCTGAAAAAAACAGAATCACCACATATTGCTTAAGTTGCTGGGTCCAAAATAGATAGTATAACCTAAATATAATTCTGGAATGATATAATGGATTTAGATATGATAGGTATTACTATGACCCATCTATATATATGAAAGCCTAAGCAACCATCCGACCATTCGTCCGGTAGCCACCGGGGGGCAGACGCTCCAACCAGTAGAGGAGGGGGCCTGATTCCTTGTGGAATTGGCCATGGTGCTGCTGGGGCACTGTCGGCTCCAAATCTGCTTCACCTGCACCCCAGATTGCAAGAGGGCACAGGCCAGTCTGAGGGACCTCACCGGTGCTCAGAGGGCCTCTAGTTTGATTAATAAAGACACACCCTCCAATTAAATTGCCTTTAAGTTTTGAGAGTATGTATACGAATTAATGGTGTATACTTATTACCTCTGTATTTGTTTCTTTTAGCGGTCAAGGAAGTTTGCTCCAGCCTTTTATATACTATAGATTTCTTACTCTCCGATACTCTTCTCGAAGAAATCCATATTGTCGGTAAGCTGGGGATTAGTTCAAATCTGTTTTGTTTGTTAAGAGTATTGTGAAATACAGTATTTGTAACTTTTAAGTTATTTTGCTTTTTTAAATATATATGTTTCTATTGATTTCAGAGAGGAAGAGATAGAAACATCAATGATGAGAGAGAATCATTGATTGGCTGCCTCTTGCATGTCCCCTATTGGGGAGTAAGCCACAACCTGGGCATGTGCCCTGATCAGGAATTGAACCATGATATCCTGGTTCATCATAGGTCAAAGCTCAACCACTGAGTTAAGTTAGTTCAGTTTTATGTTAGAATTTAGAAGCAAACAATGTTTTTATACATTTAAACTCTAGGCCTTAGAACTGTCTAGGGTTGGTGAGAAGGTGGTTGTATTTTCTTTTTTAAAAAAATATACTTTTATTGATTGCAGAGAGAAAGTGAGAGTGAAAGACAGAAACATCAATGAGAGAGCATCATTGATTGGCTGCCTCCTGCACGCCCCACACTGGGGACTGAGCCCACAACCCAGCATGTGCCCTGACTGGTAATCTGTGACCTCCTGGTTCATAGGTTGATGTTCAACCACTGAGCCACGCCAGCCGGGTGGTGGTTGTATTTCTTTTTAAAAACTGAGATTGGCCCTAGCTGGTGTAGCTCAGTTGTTGGGCATTGTCTCATGCACCAAAAGGTTTCTGGTTCCATTCCCAGTCAGGGCACAGCCTGTGTTGTGGGCTCCATCTTTGTTAGGGGCATGCTGGAGGCAGCCAATTGGTGTTTCTCTCACACATGGATATTTTCAAATTTCCTTCTTGTCTTTGTGTGAGGGCATATAACATCCCCCTTTTTTAAAAATCCTCACCTGAGGATATGTTTTCATTGATTTGTTTTTTTGAGAGAGAGAGGAGAAACATCTATCAGTAGTCTCCCATACGTACCGTGACCAGGGATTGAACCCACAACCTTTTGGTGTATGGACAATGCTCTTAAGTAGCTGAGCCACCTGGCCAGGGCTCCTTTTTCATTTGTTTGTTTGAGCAGTAGCTTATTGCTTTTTCCTAACCATAAAAATAACATGGAAGATACAGAAAAGTATAGCAGGAGTTGTCTTTATACAGGATGAGTCAGCACATAAGGTGAAAATTATTACCATTGATGATCAATTACGGTACAAGATACATGATATTGTGTCTGCTAGCCTGTACAATATATGTGGGATGTGTAGCGTGTGTAATAAAGAGTACTTTGTAGGCAACGAGCACAATTAATGCAAAGTCAAGTCTTCAACCTGTTTTGGGCACAAACATGCAACATAATTGGAACATGGGAGTCGTGGCAGAGAGTGGCAGGAGATGAAGAAGACAATTTGATTGAGACCAGATTCTGGAGGGCATTAGATGTTAAGGACTTGGGCTTTAGTCTGAAGGAAGACAAGTGCCAGTTTGACCAGTGTAATGATCCAACTGGGAACTAACATCCATTGAACATCTGTGTTATCTCATTTAAACTTCACTACAACTCCATAAAGTGCCTATTCTAGAAAACAGTATGTTTATTTAAGGAAATAGTAGGTGGGATTGCCCATGTTACATAATTTTCACTTTCTTGTTCTCTTTTTTAGAACTAGTTGAATTTGCCTAAGTATGAAAATGATAGGATTCTACTGTAAAGATATAAATCATCCCTAATCTCAGCCCTCAGAGGTAGCCATTTATTAAATGCTTTTGTTAAATGAACTTTTCTCCCCAAAGGACAGGTGTTGATTTGAGAATTTTATTTTGTGTTTTGTAGGGGAAATTCTGGGCATTGCATTCTAGTTATTTTTTTTACTTCTTCAAATTCTTTAATGGCTGTGGGAAATTCCTTCATTAGCATTTGCCTTGCATTGTGTTGCTTCTTCCCTTGTGTTTCTGAAAGAAAACTATTTTATCTTGCAGGACCTTGTTTAATGAATTGAGGATTATTGTTGAACATATAATAATGAAACCTGCTTGCCCTCTGTTTGTGAGAAGACTTTGTCTCCAGAGCATTGCCTTTATAAGCAGATTGGCACCAACAGTTGCGTAGTTTAATATCCAGCTAAGTTATATATGATATAAGTAAGCATTATTAGCAGCTGGTACTTCTGCCAGGGGTTGTGAATTCCAGGTGTGAAACTGACCTCAATCCAACTTACATAATTTACATAAATGCATCTTAACGGAAAAATAATATTTTCCTGGCATGTTAAATCAAGCCTTTATAAAAAAAGTTTCCAAGAAAATTCTGTGTTGTGTTGTTAATGGTTAAGGAAGTTTGTGTTTTGTAATAAATGTATCACATTTTTTTTAGATGCTACTGTGCCTTTATCATGTACATTTATTTCTTTTGTGAAAATAGTTCTAAAATTTGTTTCAACCTAATTGGTAATCTGAATTTATTTATATCTGGCATTAGTTCATTATGGTAAATTTACATATTCAGTATATTTTGAGACAGTATTCTTTTGCCATTTATGAATTTTGGTTGATGATTTTAACAGAAGCATTTCCCACTGTATTTGGTTTCAAATTGTCATTAAATTGATTTTGTGCTGCTTTGTTAGGACAGATTTATTTTGGATGTGCCATTATAAGATGAGTTCTGTATGTGTCTTACACTATGACCTAAAATTTTATTTCCATAATTCTGTGGATTTGAATATTTTTTTAAAAGGCTCAACTATAAGCTTACTAGTCAATTAAGTAAATATCTGGAATTACCTAACCATTTTACATCAGAGAGCAGTAGTCCTACAACTTTCCTTTCAGACCCACTGAGTAACATTTCTCAGACAGGAAATCCTTTTACAGTGTGGACACGTAGGTTATTAGTATAGTTTTAGAATTGCCTAGATCAGATTCTTGACTACCAACTTTCTCTGTTTCTTAGGCTTGAATTTTCATGGACAGTTGCAGCAGTGCAGGTACCTTTTGAAAAGAATATAACTGAAGATCATATCACTGATACTTAGTGTCTGTTCTGAAATAATAATGAAGACTATCCCGTAGATTATATACCCAGCAAATCGTATTGAAAGGTTAAATGGAAAGGTTTATGGGTAAGGTGATTGATTGGGAATGGTGCCTGAGGAGGCATTTTGGGAGAATAGTGTACATTTCAGTTTCATGCTGGATAAATAAAATTGGGGGAATTAGATGTATTATGCAACTGTGACTTGAGTTGTGTAATATGTTAAATCCTACTTGTTGAGCTTCTATCAACTCTATAAAATTTATTTTGATCTTTACTGTTACATGATTGGAAATGTGTAAAATGTTGCAAAAATTTTAGTACAGAATAATGTAATGGTTTTTGTAACCAATTTTCTTCTGTCTGCATGTAATATGGATTCTTCAAATACATTCATTGGTAACTTATTAGTAACATCAGGTTTTTTGTTCAACTTTCAGATCTATAGAAATGTGATATCTATTTGATAGCTCAACCATAACCAGCTCTTTTTGTAATATTTTTCTACTAAGTTAGAGAAGCAGCCTCATAATATACAGTTGATTTTGTGTGTATACGTGTTTGTGGCTAGCCTCATTATCACTATATATGTAATCTGATGATTTCAAGAACTAAATTTTCTAGAGCAATAAAGTGACTATAATGTTAAGTGAACAGTATATTATTGATTTCTAATGAGTTTTTAAAAATTATATCTTGAATTAAATCAAGAAATTTTGGCAGTGAAGGCATATTTATTTTTAAGTTTAGTTTTTTTTGTTTTTTGCAATTTTTAAATCTTGAGATACTTTTAGATCTATAGAAGAATTGCAAAAATAATACAGAGAGTTCCTATATATCCTTTACTTCCCCTTATGTTAACATCTTATATAACTATACAACATTTTATCAAAATTATGAAATTAACCCTGGATAACATTGTTAACTAAAGTATAGAACCTATTCAGGTTTCACCAGTTTTTACATTTGTTAATATTCTTTTTGCTCTGTTTTTACCATGGTTATTATGGTTTACTTTTAATGCCCTTTAAGTGTGCCTCTTGTTTTGAGTTTTTCTTTTTTATTTATTTATTTGTATTGTTGAGGGTATTACAGATGTTCCCTAGTTTCTCCTCTTTTGCCCCTGAGTTTTTCTTTTGAAAATTACTGTTGGTCAAAAAGATTTTCTAAGGAAAAGAATTCATGTTGATTTTAACAAAAAGAAAGTGAACATTTAGACCCTTCAAGGCTTTCTATCAAAAACAGGATTGTATTTCTGACATGCTCATGTTTGACTTAAAGGAAGGCTTGATTTATAAATAAAACATTTCTATACTCATGCCAAAGTAAATTTTACAATTTGAACATTACCAGATGTTCAGTTTGCATGAAATTCTATGGTATGAAAACGTACAACCGGCTGATAACAGCATTTGAAATTAGAGTGTAACGTATACCTATTAAATCAAAATTAAGGAAACACAATAGCAGTATATAAAATGAATGCAGTAGAAAAAATAGCAGTATACCTGAACTTATTTCTACTAACAGGTTTTTAAAAAGTTGATTTAACATCCAAAATAGCGAATTCTTTAAGAGGTGGTACAGTGCTGCTGTTTTTCTAGCATTTTTAGATATTACATCCTTTCAGACAGGTGGAAGCATCATACAAAACCTGCTTTATCTAGCAACAAGTCTACATTCCTTTTCTCTGCTTGATCCCTCATAAATTTAAACTCTAACATCATTCCAAAGAGAAATTTCTTAAATAACAATTTGTAGTTAAAGTTACTTGGAATAAAGTGACCAAGGTAGATGCTCCTGGAAGTAAGCAAGAATGAAAGCTAGCTTTTATTTTTTTATTTAGATATTTAAGAACCTCCCTTACAGGAAAAATCAAGGCATGTTAATATTAGACCAGAAGTTATTAAAGATTCATGAGGTCTTGTATAACAAAGAATTATAAAGCTGTCAGAATACTTCCTTTCTTCCTAAAAGTCAGGATCACAAATTCAGAATAAAGTTTGTAAATTCAGATTAAGTTTGTAAGTTTAGGACATAAATATTATTCATCTGGAAAAAGAAAATGAGTATATGTAATAAGATAAGTAAACTGGTTTAGTTTTTTTAAAGTTTGCTATCAGAACAAATGAAATTAATTTTGAGGGATTGTGGGACTTATTTTTATTAATATAGTTATTCTAAAGCTTCTTCCCTACCCAAATCCCCTTAAGATCTGCTAGCATCAACGCTATTACCCAGATTTAGATTAACTTTGCTACCTATTTTGTCCAAAACCTCAAGGGAGAAAATAATTACAGATAGTTATGAAAATAATTACAGACGGGTAATTACAGATCAGTAGGTGGCACTCTTTCCTCAAGTAGCCTCCGTTTCACAGGCCCTGTTGGAAGGTTAAAAGCCACTAAAAGGGCTGAGTCAGCCATAAAACGAAGGATCTTAATCCCATGACCTTTTAAAATATGTAATTACTCAATATTCAACCAATATTTAGCAAGCATTTATTCTGAATACATTTTTTAAATATTGAAATGCTCAAAAGCTGAAAGAAGTATCCTGCTAATACATGCTTTCTAGGTAAATAGTAAAATAGGCCACAATTATGAGTGATATTATGCAGATCATGGTCTCTCTTTTTTTAAAATTTCATTGTAAGTTTCTACATCACCTAAACACATCAATTATAAAATTGTTCTTTCGCCTTCATTTTCAGGTGTGTAGAATAATGGTAAATAAATTTTTTTCATGATCATTTTGTAGGTACACAAGGTTATAGGCAGTTCAGTGTCTTAAAATTTAAACTTTCATAGAAATACAAATGCATAATGAAATATTTGGATATTGTATTAGGAATGGTACCTAGCCCTAGCTGGTTTAGCTTAGTGGATAGAGCGTGGGCCTGCGGATTGAAGGGTCCTGGGTTCGATTCCGGTAAAGGGTACATGCCTGGGTTGTGGGCTCAATCCCCAATGGGGGCCATGCAGAATGCAGCCAATCAATGATTCTCTCTCATCATTGATGTTTATCTCTCCCTCCCTCTCCCTCTCTGAAATCAATAAAAATATATTTAAAAAAAAAATTTTTTTTTTTAAGGAATGGTACCTAGACTTGTAAATTCACTTTGAGTTGCAGAGACAACTGGTTTCTCTTAACACCTCATTGGAATTTCTCTAGGATTAGGAGAATTCTACAGAGGCTTAATGATAGGGTAGCTCAACAGATAGTATACAAAAACATGTTTATATCCAGGGGTTATTTTCAGAGATTGTTTTAATGAGCATTCCTCTTATAATATTCCAGGTGGGGAGTTGTTATGGGATCTGAAATTAAGGATAAGAAAGGAGCTGCTAAAATTTTGGGAGGTGACTTGGGGTGAACACTACAATATACAGATGATATATTATAGAATTGTACACCTGAAACCTATATAATTTTATTAACCAGTGTCACTCAAATAAATTCAGTTTAAAAAATTTGGGCAGGGGAGGTTTCCTGACAGTAGGAGTCATTCTAAGTAGGACATGTTTTCCTCCTAAAGTGACATTCGAGTGGGTTCTTAAACACACTCCTGTGTGAGGGATTCACTTAAGTGGCCTTTCTCTCTTTGTGTAGTGCAAATAGGAAAACCGACCTGCGTTGACTTTTAGATAATGTGAGAAGAGAATAAAGTACGGTATTTTTTTAAATCTAAAGTAGATTATTTTTCTTAGAAAGTGATGGTAAAAAATTATTGATGGATATCTTTGCTGGAATCTAAAAAATAGCTCATATTCCAGGACAAAAGGGCCCCAAAATCATTTCACTTTTTCCTTCCTAGCCTTCTGAAGCTACTTTTTCGATGTGTTCAGCATTTTTTAAACATTTTTTTCTTGGTTCATGACAGTTTAGCTCCAAACTTGGACTATAGTTTTATAACTTTAAAATAAAACAATTGCTTTTGACATGAATTTTTGCATACATACATAAGTTAGACCAAATGGGCAAAGTCTTGGGCAGGTAACATTTGTGATGTGTTATATTGGAAGAAATGTTAAAGGGTCGCAAAGATTAGAGTCATAAAAAAACCTGCTTGATTTATAAATGCATTACTTCTGGTGCTCTATATAATGGGATATATTGAACTAAAAATTTGTATAAATGATATGTCAGCATTTCTTAGTAACTTCTTGAATCCATTTTTAATATCTAATATTGTACAGGTTGGGGAGTTATACTTTTCAGGCCAATACTATCCAGACTGTATAAATTTATAAAATAAATTGAAAAATTCATCATTCCCTGGTATTCAAGACCAAAGCACATAAATGCTAATGTAGGGCTCAGAGGGGAAATATATTTCTCCTGAATATTTGAGAAAATGTGAAGTCCTTTCAGGAAAATCTAATAAACATAATAATCATAGCCTGCTGACACTAAGGAAAAAGGACCTCATTTGCTCTTTCTTTTATGCAGCGATTTGCTGGTCCCTACTGATTTCCAAATTGGATCACGGTAGTAAATTATCTATGCTGGTACCTGTGAAAGTAAGCCCTGGGATCCACATTTGTTGTGTGTTCTGCTTAAATCAGCAAGAATGATAAATTTGCTGGTGTGGAATTGGAAGTGTCAAGGGCTTTCTCTGGTGATTGAGCAAAATAATGTCTCCACTTGTAATTTATTGTGCCCCTTTTTCACTGTATGTTCTTTGTATATCTAATATTTATTTCAGTACAAATTAAATTGTTGTTCCTTCATCTGTATTGTTATATCTAAGATTTTATTGATGTAAAAATCAAATTGTGTAATAAAAACCTCTCTGGATTTAAGCAGATTTGAAAATGTTACGTTGCAGAAAACATTTACAGTTAGAATTCAGCTTTCCATTGTGCTTCATTGCCTTATTGTTAGGATAAGGAGAATTTGAACATTTCTTTGTCCTCAGTTCATCACAAATAATAGAAATGGTAGAATTTTGTGGTCTAATATGAAACTGGAAAAAGAATTACAGTGGATCTCTCCGCAGCTTGCCTGCTTCCTTCTGTACTTTTTTTGTTAGTGAAATTCACAGCCTACTGTAAAAGTTTTTTATAACCATAAAGTGATTCACAATATACAATACATCCAAAGTCATAAGTCAATACAGGACAACACAAGAATATATTTTCCATCTAGGTGTTTATAGTTGGCAGATACTTACTTTTTGTGTCAATTTTTAACGTGTACTAAGCAAAACACAGTATAACCAAGTTAAACAAATCTTTGTCCATTTAGAGGTCATAATGTAAGAGACATTATGGAATCAGTTGTGCAAAGATCATTCTAATAGTTGAGTAAATACTAAATTAGTACATGAATTATCCACATAAGGGGAAACGAGTATTAGGAAAATTGATTTCCTAAAGATTTAATGGTGAAGAGTCTTCCCTAAGAGTCTTATACATTGTTGATTCATATGCTCTTCCCTTTATTGTGTGGGAATACATGGAGCTGTTTTATAACATAATTCTGTGCTTTGAGAAGGGAAGGGTCATCATTCCTCAAGGCTGGCTGAATGGAGAGACCCCTCAAAGAAGTGGCCCACCGAGATCCTTGAGAGTTGTCAGTCTAAGCAGGTGATTTGTCAAGTGTTTTAGTGTTTTTAAAAATTTATTATGGTGAGTTATGAACTTACATAAAAATAGAATGTTAATGAACCTCCCTTCTATTACCCAGCCTTAACCAGCCCTGCAACCCTGCCTTATCCTCACCTGTGATCACTTTCCCTTTTGATTTAAGTAATTTCACATTATTTTACACTACTTAGTAAAATTTTCATTATAAGCCTCAAAAATTCCTTTTTAATATCAATATAAAAAATAATTAACAGGTTTATTTAGACTGGATGACTAGAAGTGACTAAGAATAATGCCCTGGTGTGAAAAAGTCTTCCACAATTTTATAACAAGCAGGAGATGAAGGGAGAGGGAAATTTTGCTATTTTTCAGAAAAAGACTTTTCTCCCTATATTTGTGCCCTCAGAGAAAGGCCACCATCCTCTTGGCAAAATGATAGATTTTTGCCTTCCCACACTATACTATCCTCCCCTATAGGAGATAGTTGAAAACATGGAAGTGTGGGATTTTGGTGGTCTTACCAGAAACAGTGGGGCAGGTAAGTTCTTTAAAAAAAGCAAGTACTGTTAACCAAAGAAGGGGATAAGTAATTTGGGGCTGTGACACTAGATTAAGAAAGGGATTTAAGGTGGGAGAATGCATAACGGGGATAAATGGTGATGGAAAAATAAAAATTTTTTAAAAGGGATTTAATATTAGAACCATTGTTCTTGTTAAATTTCCTTGTAAGTAGTTCCAAATAATTGTGAGATTTAGGTCAGTTCATTCCCAGTTTTATTTTTAAATTTATATCCTTTAAAAAATACCCAATAGTTTGTAGTTTGTGTTGTTTGTTTTTTCATTACATTCTTCAAATTTGGAGCTCTACAAACATTATTACTTACAGTTCCAAAAGTAATAGGACAATTCATTTAAGTAACAAATCAAAATCCCTGGAGACAAAAGAATGAAATTTGCAGTGATCCAGAATAAAGTGGATATATCTTTTTTTTCAACTCATAAAAGATACAGTTATATAAACAGGCTTCTCCAATCTGAAGTAACAATCTTTGACACTGAATTACCAGGTTCATGTTTCATAGTTCAATTTAGTAAAAGCATAATCTTTTTAAATGCTTAGAAATTACATTTTCGTCCCTTTACCTAAAAGGTTAAACTTCCTTTTTGGACTTACTGTACTATTGGGCTTATTTTGAATTAGTGTGGTTTTTTTAGGTCAACTTTTTTTATTTATCCTCACTGGAGGATATGTTTTCATTGGTTTTTAAAGAAAAGGGGAAGGAGAGAGAGAAAAACATCAGTTGGTTGCCTCCTGAGCAACCTAGGTATGTGCCCTGATCAGGAATCGAACCTGCAACCTTTTAGTGTATGGGATGACACTCCAACCAACTGAGCCATCCAGGCAAGGCTTGAATTAGTGTTTTTTATATGAACTTTATAGTTCCCTTTCCTGAGGACAATCCTCAATTTCAAAATAAAAACAGAACATTTCTTACAAAAATATTGGAACAATGTTTAGAAAAATATTTTAATTTGGGCCCTTTCACATTTTCAGTTATATGAATATATTTCTGGGAATAAAATATATTTCAAAGTGAGTAGTAATTAAACATCCTAATAATTAAACCTACCAGAGGGTTTTTTGTGTTTTTGTTTTGTTTTGTTTTGCCTTTTTAATATTGTGGTAAAGTCAAAGGATATGTAAGGCTTATTGCAACTTTTTTTATGTTATGCTCAAAAGGTTTTGTGGAAGTTATAGTTAACTATAAGTGTTTATATTGTACTAATGTGCTTTCAACAGCATCATAATCTTTTAATCCTTTGACATTAAGATGTACAAATAACCTTGAAGCAGGTTTATAGTCTTTCTTTGTCTATTCTCTATATACTATTATCAGATTCTCAGATTTTAAGACTGGTCTCAGATTTTAAGACCAGTCAACCAGTCGCTATGACGCGCACTGACCACCAGGGGGCAGTCAACTTGAACAGATGAAAAGAGAAACAGGTGATTGAGTCTATGAAAGATCACAAGCAGGTGGAGCCAAGCTGCAGTTCGCATTGGGAGGCCAGGCCATCGGCCCAAATTCCACCACTCCCAGGCACCGCTCCAGAGGCACAGCACCCCCGACCCCCATCAACCCCTCCAGCCACATCCTCCCCAGGCAGCCGGGACCAAGGGACGGAGGGAGGGAAAAAAGAGACCACAAACTCCGTCCCTAGTATCTGCCTCCTCCTATCAGACCGGAGCCACCCTAGGACTTGCAGGACAGCGTGTAAAGGCAGCCTTGCCACGCAGCTACGGCGACTCCCTGGTCCACCTGGGGTGCCCCTCGGGCACTCACCCCACTTCTCCGAGCCTCAGTCTGCACCCCTAGAAAGGCTGTGGGAGCTCCACCCTAGGGACCCACTTCTCCATAGCTGTGTGTGGCAGACCAGGAGATGCAAGAGGCGGCGGGGGAAGACGGGCAGTTGCTCAGCTGACCAGGATGAGCAGGAGCAGCTCCTCCCTGGCCGCCTGCCGCTTCACACACTACTGCATCCCTTGGGGGATGTTGGATGCCAGTTTCAGCCTGATACCCGCAGGGACCCCACCAGTGTACAAATCCATGCACTGGGCCTTTAGTTTTAATTATAAACAAACTGTCCCCTGATGGCAACTTTTCTGCAAAATAATTCTAGTGCCTCTCATTTTGCATGTAATAATAACCATAGGAGTGGGGAGGAAAGGACCATTGCTTGGCTTTTGATTTTATTTCCAGTTGGTTTTTACATTAAACACCTAACCAAGGTTATAAGGGGCTTATTATGATTTCAACCTTTAATGTTATAAAAGTTTTTAGACCATTATCACTGGTTAATACTTACTATTTGTTTTCAACATGCCTAAGTAAGCTAATAATTCTTCCCATTACATTTATGACAATTATGCAGACTTTTTTTTTTTTTTAATATATTGACTTTTTACAGAGAGGAAGGGAGAGAGAGAGTTAGAAACATCGATGAGAGAGAAACATTGATCAGCCGCCTCCAGCACACCCCCTACTGGGGATGTGCCCGCAACCCACGTACATCCCCTTGACCGGAATCGAACCTAGGACCTTTCAGTCCGCAGGCCGACGCTCTATCCACTGAGCCAAACCGGTTTCGGCTATGCAGACTTTTTGTCTCTATTTTAAGTGTGAGAAACCCAAATTCCACAGATGAGTCAGTGGGAATTCCTGACTGATAATTCCTGACATAAATCATTACAGAGCACAGCCCTCATTCAGGCCATGTTCACTGAGAATGCATTGCAGAGTCTAAGTGACAGTCTTAGGAAACAGCAGCCCCCGTGGGTGTTCTTTGGTGTACCATCCTAATGGGTACTCATACAATTAGCTCATTCTTTTTAAAATTTGTAGAATAAATGATTCAATACTTAGGAGATGCCTCCATCATATTTGCTGTTTGCCCAATCTCAGAAGGTCATCTTAGACATTTACATGTCTTCCAAGTTTTGAGCAAATTAGGATAAGTGGAGATACTCTTCTGTAAATGAACATTTTCTGGTTATCAATATTGGTTCTCTTATAAATGGATGTAAGTACCATGCCAAGAAAAAAAGTACTGCATAACCATTTACACCAAATATTCCAATTCTTTCATTGAGTTAGCATATTATCATTCCCAGACATCAGAAGAACTTAACACTGGTTATATTAATGTCATTTCTGTATAATATTTGGTTGGGTTTTGTTTTGATTGGCTTTTTCCATCCCATTTCCCCCCATACCGCCTACCATTTTGAAATTTATACACATTTGCTACTGTATTGTTTTCATTAAACTTTAGAAATTTGAACATGCATACTTAATAAAGTTTGAGGTTAAAAAGATTTACAGCTGCTTCTGCCAGATGCCTGGGGCACTACCAAACTGGGAACACTTTAAACTAAATTTTTAGCTCTGGATATTATTTTTCTGTATAGGAATTATAAATTTGGGGCACAATGTTATGAATACTGGCTTGTGGTTATGACTTCTCAGGGGAGATTTTTCTTCACTACACCTGGCACACAGGTAGAAAAAGGCAACTTTCCTAGATGTCTCATTTAACTTCAAATACAGTGGTTATGCAAATGTCTATTAGATTTTCCTCCTTGGATGGGCCTTCTTTATATATATATATATATATATATATATATATATATATATATATAATATTTTTTTATA